CTGTATCCTGTATCCTGTGTCTCAGGCATTGGAAGTTATTTGTTATGGCAGCTGCAAAGAAAAGGTATTAGATCAGTGTAGAGGAGTAAGTATCAACTGATACTAGCCTGAGATAATTTAATCCCCACTTTACTGATGATCACACTTACATAAGGAAATAATTTTTATAGACTTGCACATCATGTTTGTGGGCCGTGAAGAGTGGCATATTCTGACCTGTGTAGAAGGTAGATCATGGACTTCGTATGTAATGTCAACTTTCTTATGATGTCTTCATACTTCAGGGATCCACGCTGGAAAGACGGTCCCAATTGTCAAAGGAGGAGAAGCAGAAATCATGGAGGAAAATGAAGTGTATGCCATTGAAACTTTTGGTTCCACTGGTCGTGGTTATGTGCACGATGACATGGAAACCTCACATTACATGAAGAACTACGATGCTGGACACGTTCCTCTCAGGTGGGTGCTGTGTTTGTGCACAACTATGATTTCATTAGTATTCCATACACTAACCTGCAAGGTGTAAATATGTTGCTCTAATAATCCTCTAAGGTAATCGCATGTTTGTCGCCAACTTTATAATGTTGGATTTTCTTATAACCTTCAATGATTTGGTTAACTTTACGCGTTCTAGTAAAATGCTGCTTGTTTAATTAAGATCTTGTATTGGGAAGATTTGTAGTCTACATACTAGCCAGTTGGTGGCGTGTGTACATAGAAAACATATTGTAGGGGTGAATATATTGTTAGTAATACCCTAATTCAAAGTGCAAAACTAAATAGGAACTGTATACTTAATACATATACAAAACAGTAGGTGACACAACCTTTTTTTTTCCTTTCTTAATAATGTGGTTAGTTTTTTTTATGTGTGTGTGTGTGTGTGTGTGTGTGTATGTTTTTAATGGTTTCAAGAAGGACATACATTTTTGTAGACAATTATTTTGTGTGTGATTTTGTATGATAGAGCTTTAATAATGTAGGCTATTATAAACCAGAGTTAAGTAAGAATTAGTATTCAGGATCAGTATTCAATTAATTCCTTTTGGTTTTATTTAGCATTAGGTATCTCACGTGTTTAATACTATGATCATGTTATGTTGGAATCTAAAGGTGTCTGGAAAGGAAGTATAGAATGAAGTTAAAGAAATAATGTGCATGCTTGCATATGTACCTGTGATAGCCCCTGCCAGATTAACTTGTGAATTCTCTGTTTAATATTTCGTCGTCTTGTTTCAGGCTGGCCAAGTCCAAACACCTGCTTAATGTAATTAATCAGAACTTCGGCACTTTGGCCTTTTGCCGCCGTTGGCTGGATCGCCTTGGAGAAAGCAAGTACCTGATGGCTCTCAAGGATCTCTGTGAGAAGGTAAGAGCATCTCTTTGTATGATGTACTATGTGGCGAGGATAATAATGGTTTGAAATTTATTGTGAGTTTGTTGCTCTCATTAGATTTCCAGATTGTTAGATATTATGATATTATATTTTTTAGTTCTATTTGTTTTGTTTACCTTTTATTTTTCAGTTGAATTTATCAAGTAGGCTGTAGTGTAGTTCTACCACCATTAATATCTTTTTACTTGCCATTTGCAGGGGATTATTGACCCATACCCTCCACTCTGTGATGTGAAGGGCTGTTATACAGCTCAGTTTGAGCACACGATAGTCCTTCGGCCTACCTGCAAAGAGGTTGTAACTCGTGGAGATGATTACTAACTCTCGTCTGAAAAGGTTGTTCCCCCACACTTAACTGGAGATAGAATTTCACTTCCTCGTTCTCTGTCCGAGGTAAAGGCAGATTTGAAAGGGATGTGATATGTGTTACATATATATTTTTTCATCCTTTCAGTTGCTGAATTATGTGGCATTAAAAGCACACTCTTTGTTTTCTTGATTTATATATATTTTTTTCTCTTTTGGATATGCAAGTTCCTAATCATTTGTCATCGAGTGTCACAAAAAGGACATGGTGTCCAAGACTAGAGAGATACAGCAAACTAACCCTTGTAAAATTGCCTTTTTCATGGATCAATACCAATATTATGATTAAAAAAAAAAATAATTTGTGTTTATAGAGTGTGGGTGATTTTGTTAAAAGTCTTGATCAATTGTTAATTAGCAAAACATTCAGAACTGCACTGTTAATATAGCCGCAAAAGGCTAGCAAGCAAGAAGGTATAGAACTATGGAATATTAAACACAAATGCTGGGGAAGGTGAAATGTATTTGAACTAGATATTTAGTACATTGTGAGAGAGAGATGTAATAACTGCACAACACTTGTTTGCATTGCATCGCCTTGCTGTTCACCTATAACTGAGCTGCTAGTCTCCTATGTTACTACTGTGAATTATTTGAAAAATATAATCTATCTACAGTTGCATTTTCTATCCTATAATTTTTCCAGCAATATATTTTCTCCTTTGTAATGGGGCACAAGAAGTCATTTTTATTCAGATGTTTACAGTGATATAATTAAAGAAAAAAAAGCATAGTGTA